TTTAGGGTTTAGCCTCGTTTAGGGTTCAGGGTTTAGCCTCGTTTAGGGTTTAGGGTTTAGCCTCTCATCGCTGGGCCGGAGTTTGCCAAAGCAGAGGGGTGTTCAGTGTTCCTATTCCGTTAATTCTAGTTCTGCCGAGTGAATGAAAGGATGCTGCGTGCAAGGAGAAGTTGATGTGACGTGAGCTAAATGGGACCCCTCTGCTACTGACGACGAATGTGAAGTGGATCCAACCCTAAACCCTAAACCCTAAACACATGTCCTCAAGAGCCCCTCAACTAGCTCCAACCCTAAGCCCTAAACCCTAAGCATTCAACTCTGCCCTATACCCTAAACCCTAGCCCCAAAGCCTTTTCAACTCCCCGAGCCCAAAGATAGGGGCCCCGTACAACAGAGGGGTCTGAATAATTGGTAGTGCGATTCCCGTTGTGTAGAGGTTCTTAAACCCCTGTAGACGGTTTAGGTGAAAACCGCCTCCTAGCTGAGCTGAACGACCAGACTAGCCCATGGAATCCGAGAACTCCGCTAAACCCTAGACCCCAAACCCCTAAACCCTAAACCCTAAACCCTAAACCCCAAAAGCCCTGGCCGGCCGGAGGTCATCCTACCGAACCTCCTACAGCCTTGATCGGCTGGCAGAGACCGGCCTGTCCGACGATGAGGACAGCACAGGTTTTTTTGTAGGACATAGCTTGTTTCAATTGTTCCCTAAACCCTTGGCTGCGGACAGTGCGGTTTGTTGTAGGGGCATAGCCTTTTTCAAAAGAAGGTTCAGGGTTTAGGGATTTGGGCTGTGGGAGTTGGAAGCTTGGATTTTACAGAGTTCGAGGATCGGTGTTTGGGGTGAGGGGTATGGCTGAAGACTTCCGGGCTTAATTGGAGGGCCGATGAGTTTTGTTGAAGCCTTCTTCAGACTCAAGCAAAAAGTAGGTATGTAGGACCCACCCTAAACCCTAAACCCTAAACCCTAAACCCTAAACCCTAAACCCTAAACCCTAAACATACCCTTGCAAAGAAGTCACCCAGCTTGTTTCAGGGCGTTTACGCTCCATCAGCTGAAAGGCTTTCAGAGTGAAGCACCTTCGAAGAGCAACCCCACCCAGGGTTTAGGGTTTAGGGTTTAGGGTTTAGGGTTTAGGGTTTAGTAGGCCCTTGCAAGCCTGCGGTTGCTGATGGGTTAACTCGCTTCAACAGCTTCTTCCGTGCCGAAGCAATCCCATTCAGGGAACTCTAGCTTCCCGTGTATAGCTGCACTATACTAAGGTTTGGGGTTCAGGGTTTAGGATTCTCATGAATATTAAGGCCCCTATATTGCGGCAGAAGGTTGGCCCTGCCACCGACTCTTCACGAGCCGTTCCCGCATGGCACACGGGACAGAGAACCGGAGGCGTACACGCAGATGAAGCTGCTCCACTGTCCATTATTCCGGACAGTCGAAGAACTTCCCTCTCGACTTCATGTCAAGCTTCTACGGAGCACAGATCCCTAAACCCTAAATCCTAAACCCTAAACCCCAAACTCCGAAGTATTACATCTCGTGTCGACTCCTTGCCGGCAGCCGTCAACTCCACCCCCCCTCTAAGCCCGAAGCCCCAAACCCTAGAAGCCCTAGAAATCCTGAACATCCTAAGCCCCAACACCAAACCTGCACCACAACCGCCACACACCTCATGCCCCTGTTGAGGAGTCGGACAGGAAGGACGACCGAAGCATGGAGGTTGGACCGGATTTAAGCTAGTTTTACTCTATGTTCAAGTATATGTAAGTGTGTTATGGTCAATTGCAGTATGTATCACAACAACTAGTAGATTATAGTGTATTATAGTAGAGTATAGTATACTATAGTACTTTTTCATATACTGTGGTATACTATAGTATACAGGGTTGGCGGTCCCGGGCTTTTTTTTTGAAGCTCGGGGCTCGGTGGTTTCATGGTTCAAGCCTTACTAAACCCTAAACTCTAAAACCGAACCCTAAATCCTTAGCCCTAAACCAAGAATTGGTAAAGATAGGATAGTATATCAGGGTCGTAGACGTGGAATGCCTTTCCCGGATTGGATTCGCCATGTCATCAGACACTCTTTCCAGGTCCTTAACCACACCTCACACCGCCCTCAAAAATCCTCACTCGGGATATATACTGGTGAAGCGAATGCAGAAGCCTTCTGAGTTGGCGCCAAAGTGCGTGCAGACATAGCTGCAGCGCGAAAGGCCTCCCTAAAAAATACGAAGAATTGAAGCAGCAGAGGCCGTTTCATCCCACAGGCCCCGCACCGCAAACGGACCATCCAAGGTTTCTTTTTTTGTCTTTGCTTTCGACTGAGAGGTTGGTAGCCTTAAGCTGCTTTTCATTTAGATCCCATTATCGTGTACAGTATGTTGCAGTATAGCACAAAGTACTGTAGCACATCATAGTGACCTGGTTCCATTTAATGTTGCACTGTATGATCGTATAGTTTAGTATATCATAATATATTATAGCATATTGTAGAACATTTTTGGTTCATGCCAGTATATGGTAATATATTTCAGTATATTATGGCATATTCTTAGTCTGAGTTGGTACCTTTTAGTATGTTGTAGTATATCATCGTCTTCCGTAGTATGTTGCAGTATACTGCAGTATATCGTAGCATATTACAGCGTATCGTAGCATACCCTCAACACGCGAATCTCCGGCCGGCAATCCTCAGCAAAATGCGTGTAAACCTAGGTAGACCCTAAACCCTAAACCCCACTGAACCCTTTCAGAAAACGCCTAAACCCTAAACCCTAAAACCCTAAACCCTAAACCTTAGACCCTGAAAGCCCTTTCTCAAATCACACTGGCTGCAGCCAGGCGGCGGATTCTCAAGATCCAAGCGAGGAAAGTGCTGCAGGCCCATTGCGACCACATGGTACAGTGTCACATGTTGATGTGAGTTGATGCAAACCCCGTCAAATACACGCGTACTCTTATGCATTTAACATACAGAGGATAGAGGAGAGTGTGTTTCATTGCTTGGGGGGGGGCATATTGCGGTACATTTTCGCTTGCTGTCGCTGTTTCGGTGCCCCATGGTCGCCACAGCATGTGTCCTAGGTAGTATTAGGGAGACCCCTTCAAAGGAGATCCTTCTGAACCCTACTTCTGAGTCTCTTACAAGGGACCTTATCGACAGGGTTTTTTCCCCAAACATCCCCCTACTCCTACTTGAAGGCCCAGGGGACTTAGTAACTAGGTTATAAGCAGAGTGCCCTAAATGGAGTTACCCCAATTATCATCCTACTTATAACCGACTTACTAAGTTTTGTATGGGCCTCTAAGTAACTCCCAATGTGAGGGCATCTTGCGCGTTCGGGCATGTAGAAGGTCTGAGTCTTCGGGATTGTCGCTTGAAGAACACAGCAGTGCCAAGTTTCATCCAGAAACTCTTTGATTCACAGATCTGCCCTGATTCGTTTTATAAGGCATACTAGCATATTGTAGTACATCCCGTTACTATATTTTCAAAGACCATGATTCGATTTGGAAGGCCTTGAAGCTATTTTCGAATTCCAGACGCAACCAGGAATGCTGAACCCCCAAACCTCAAAGCTTTCCCATGGTGGTGAACCTATTGAAAAGCAACGTGATGTGGACAGTCCTCTAACTTAGGCTTCCTTGCAGGGTCATGTTTATAGGCATGGCGTACTCTTCCGGGGATGGTCCACCCTGGAGACACTGAACCTTTGCTAATCCTGCAGGGCACCTGAACGAACGGTTTTTTGGAGCATGTGGGCAGTTCTCTAAATTATGGTCCCTTCTGGCCCCCAAAATA